AACTCCGATAAGTTAGTGTGTGAATTCGAAGTATTTTACACAAATGAAAATGTTCATTTCATCACTAACTTGTCCTATATAATAATATGACCAATTAAAAAAAAACGAAATAATACAATATTCTCTTAACGTTTCGGAGGCTGAGATCTGCTACTTCAGAAATAGACAAAATTAGAATTTATTCGCAGTTTTTCTTTTGCTGATTATTTTTATTTCACAACGTTTTCGACAGATGTCGAATAAAGATGGGAATAAAGTTCTCAATTACATTGTATCTGTATCTGTAGGGAGATTGAGTGTGAGCCCACAACACTTAAGCCACATACGACCCATTGTACATCCTCCCGAGGAGGGGTCCTCGTAGGTCATCGTCCATCTTGTCCTTTCCAGGAAGGTGGACAGGTAACTTGGAGACATCTCCTTTATATCGGCAGGTGTAGGCCAAGACTCGCCGAACACACATTCTCTTATTGACGATAACTCCGGACACTCGCATAGGACATGCCGACGGTTTCATCTTCCTGTTCACACATTCTGCATAGAGGTGTGTCTACTAGCCCAATGTTTCGTTAGTTGGCAGTGGCCAGTCAGAAATCCTACTGTTGAGCGTAGATTTTTCCTGGTCATGGCCAGATATTTCTTCAGCGCCAGCTTCCCAAGTTCGCCCAGGGTGATCCTGGCAAGATTGCATCCCTTGATTCCATCCCATCATCTCTTTAGGGATTGAGCATGGGTGTAACATTTGGCCGCAATTGTCGAAATCATCAGGGCGTAGGTGCCACTAGGTCCTACAATTTTTAGTCCAGCCGCATTCTTGGCTAAAGAGTCGGCAATGCGATTACCTTAACTCCTGTCATGCCCTTCAACCCACCTCAGAATAATGTTATTATCTACCGAGGCTTTGGCTGAATTTTGGTGGCACTCTAGTACTAGCTCTGAGGTAACCCTTTGTCTGTTCAATGCTAATAGGGCTTGTCTGCCGTCAGTGCAGATTGTTATGTTTTTGACAGGAATTCCTTTCCCGGTTATTTCTTTTGTGGCAGTTGAGATACCAGCCAGTTTTGTTTGGACCACGCTAGCATTTTCTGCCATTTCCCACTTAATCTTTGGGCTTAGTGATCTGGAGTACACTCCACATCCTGAGCCTTTTTTGGTTTTTGAGCCGTCTGTATATATGCGTATTGCATTTGTAGCATCTGACTCTGTGTGCTGTTTTATTTGTATTTTGTAGGGTTTATTAAACACAAACCTGGGTTCAATTGCATCCCTGGGTGCCTGCAGCAGAGTTGCGCAGTAAGCGCTTCTCGCCGTAGACTCAGCCTCAATTAACCCATTCCTACTTCATTCCTACACCAGCCGTCCGCAAGCGTAACATGGCCATTAACGCAACCTCCTTAACGTACAGATCCGGAGGGTTCAGACCCGTAATTAATATCATTGGCGCGGTTGGTGTTGTTCTCATGGCTCCTGTGATGTTTAAATAAGCCAGTCGCTGTATTTGACATACTTTTTGGTTGGCGGTTGCTTGTAAAACTTTCGGTCTCCATGCAGTGGCTCCGTACGTTAACAAAGGTCTTATTGACAAAATGGATTAGACTTTCACGGCTGAGGTTTTCAGTATCATTTCTTTTCGGGTTTGAGAGCCGTGGATTTTTGGAATTTCTTTCTGACGTTTCGCTGGTGCGAGTGGCTAGCTTCTTCAGAGGTTTAACCATCATGGCTTGCTATCCGATGACTACCTTTTTGGCTTCTTAAAGCGTATTTATGCCTTGTCAGGTAATCAGTTGTATTAGTACCTGTATTTGTACCTGCATTCCTACCTGTACTCGTACCTGCACTTGAACTTGGAACATTAACAATCTGGCTGCCTGTTGTCCTGTTCGTTATTCTCGAATTCCTTAAAATGGGGTTCCATATTTGATTGAGGTGCACGGCTTCTTCTTTTCGGTTGAAATTCTCCGTGTGTTTGTGGATCTCTATTGCCTCCCGTACCAGTCGGTTATATGGTATCCCTGGTTGGAGGCAATTAGTTCTGTGTTTTCAAACAACATTCTGTGGTCTCCTTCACTAAGTGCGTGTTCTGCCACAGCTGACTTGTCCGTTTGGCCTAGTCTACAGTTCCTTTTATGCTCTTTCAGTCTTGTTCCCATGGATCGTTTGGTGGTTCCGATACATAACTTTCGACAAGTGCACGGTATGCGATAGACCCCTGCTACTGATAATGGGTCTCTTTTGTCTTTAGCCGACCTGAGGCTTTGTTGTATCTTCCTCGTGGAAACGGTTCAGGGCGTCTCTTCCGTTTCCCAAACCACTTGAACGCCTAACACCCGAGCAAAGAATTCACCATGGAGATTAAGCAAGACCAACGGATAGCTTTCCTAGATGTACTAGGATAGTATCACAGATAGATACTTGCACGCACTATCTCCACTCTAACAGAACGGGATCGGTTAATATGTGAACCAGAACATCTGGAGAGGGAACTGAAATACCTTGAAGTGACCTTGAGATGGTCAAGCCATGATGGTTAAACCTCTGAAGAAACTAGTCACTCGCGCTAGCAAAACGTCAGGAAGAAATTCCAAAAATCTACGGCTTTCAAACTCGAATAGAAATGACACTGATAGGTCTTATTATTGTAATGTAGATCCAGATGACCATGCGGGATGAAATACCCCATGCGCGTCCCACTGTCCTCCGACATTGCTCATAAGCCACATACGCTCTTTTTGCTCTACTATGTAGGTGAAAGTTCCATGTTAGCTTCCTGTCGAGAATAGAACCAAGGTATTTCACCTCTTCAGAGAAGTTTAGTTTGCTTCTGAAGGTTTCGAGAGGTTTTGATCCCGATAAACTTCTTTTCCTGATGAACTGTCACGCTATTACCCATGCTACCCTGAAAACGTCTTAATCGACAAGTTTTTTCATCGTAAAAATATTTCACATTGAGGAGTTTACGAAATATAAATCATTAGCCTGGTTGATTATATGTTGATGCGAGCTCTGAAAACTTACAAATCCTAGATGATCACCCTGACGTATGATTCCTGTATCTTTACCGTTTTGGACCCCATCAGGGGCGGATGTGTTAGTTCTGCGAATAAGCACCATTCTCTGTTTGAAGATATATTCCCACGTTAACCAGCTGTCGCACCCCTACGAACGACAACCCTCAGAAGTCGAAACTTGTGCGAGTTAAGGACTAATGAGGTCTTACCTTTTAACGTGTGTAAATAGATGACGTCTCCGCAAGGAAAAATACAATAAAAATACAAAAATGAGTTGAATGTTCAAATTTCTGTGGCTATGTACATTCGATCAGCAATTTTTTATGTTGATACACTCGTCTCGAACATATGTTTACAGTTTTAGCTGTTCATCATGTTCAGTATTTTGGTGAGAGGCATAATAATATTATTTCGATACCTCAGCAACTTCTCTTATAGTTATTCGACAATTCTCCATAACATTTTTCTTCACTTCCTCAATATTATTATTCACGTCTTCTCGACCTTCTGTAGAAAACTTGTACCACTTGTAAACATTTTTCTGACCCAGAGAACAATCACCGTATGCCATTGTCCACATTCCGAAAGTTTTTGAGCACTTTAATCAGTTTTTCACTGTACGATCAAGGATAAATCGAGAAAGTATCCTCACTTCACATTAGTGTCCGACCTAAATTGGTTTTTACGACCGAAACCGAAACAGAATTTAGGCAACGGTGTCAGTTTCGGCCGAAACCGAAACTTCCTTACAAGGATTATGTTTTGAGGGAAAAATAAAGAAAACGACGTTATTATAATCAGTCAGTCTTCATTTTTTTATCTTCAAATCACAATGTTATGCAGTCTTCGACATTTTCACTTTTTGATAATCAACATAACAACCTCTTATTTGAGAAAATATATTAATTGCTCCTCAAAAATACTTAAAATAGGTGAGGTGTTTATTTGAGTAGGTGTAGATTCTTCTTTTGAATAATGGTGTTAGTGGAGTGTTAAACTGAGGTGTTAAAATAACGGTTTGATATCGGGAAAAAATTCCATAAAATTCATAAAATTACTCCTTTAAGTTGTTACCTAAAATCACAATAGGTACTTGATATTTAGATATGTAAGAAACAAAGTAAATCACAAAGTAAGTCACGACATGATTTGGCACGTGGACGCGGCAAGATTTCTTCGTCGCTTGTATGCAATTCAACGCACCGAACACAGCGCGAGAACTCCCGAATGCAGTTTCGGTTTCAGTCGTAGTTTCGGCAGGTTTGCCGACGAAACCGAAACTAAACCGAAACCCGTTTTTTTGCCGAAACTCGACCGAAATCGAAACCGAACTGTCGGTCGGACACTACTTCACATATATAAACGGTAAATTCATTATACTAGTAACGAATATGAGATTAAATTGAATAAAATATACAAAGAAGAGATAACTTATTACAAATAAAAGTAGATTTCACATATTTTTACATTAAAAAAAAGGAATATTTGAGGGTGTCCACATATGGTACACAAAGTTTCTGTATAAAAAATTAGGACAGATTCACTTCAAACTGTGTGTACCACATTTGATCACGCTTCTTATTTACGTACAGTGCAGTTGTGAGTGCCAAAAAAGCACTTCGTACATAAAAAATTGTATTCACACACTTGGCAACGCATTTTCGATCTTGGAGTTTTTGCCATTGCGTATCCTCTACCATTTCTTGCACTGTAAACTTTGTAGCAGTTGGTACATCTACCCCTTGATTCTATCTCTATCAATTTGTGATTGTTGGAAGCCTCATTAGTTGGAATATTGATTACAGTATGTCTATCATAAAAAATTTTGTTTGTAATCTCCTCCCTGAACTTCGTTATGTTGATACTTTTATTAGAAATAGATTGATATACTATATGAGCATTCACCACTGCTGTGTTTGTTAGTAGTTCTATGGCAACCTTCCTGTACCATTTTATTCCGCGTCGTACAGTAGTCTTGTAGGAAAACTTTTGGTCTGAAACGTCTATAAATGACTTGATACTGTTATACTTCACAATTGTAGATGGCTTTTTTACAATACCTTTTTTGGTTTGCACTTCTGTCATTTCTGGAACTGCTTCAGTTGTCAAAAATAAGGCGTCTCTTTTGTCTTTCCATTTTCCTACTATTACGTAGGTATTACTTTCAAGTGCCATCATGGCGCCTTTTCCAAGTTTTGCATCCGCAACTGGTTTAGGGCTGAACTTTCTATTTTTTCTCAGAGTTCCAAGAAGGTGAGTCTTCCTATCCAGAAGATCATGTGCGAGGCTAACGCTAGTATAAAAGTTGTCCGTACATAGAAGACGTCCTTGATCTAAGAGAGGTTTCATAAGTTCGAGAACTACGCGACTGGCAACTGGCTGTACGTTTGGGTTGTTCTCCTTACCAGTATATATTTTCAAGTTGTACGTATAACCTTTTTCCAAACACAGTTTGAAAATTTTCACCCCGTATTTGTATCTCTTACCCGGAATATATTGTCGGAAACTAATCCGACCTCTAAAAGGAATCATTGTCTCATCAATACACACTTCCTTATTGGGAGTACATGCTGCTTGAAAGTTAGCAATCAGACCATCTACTGATGCTTGAATCTTACATAACCGATTGGTAGGATCCGTCGTTTTGTTATCTGAGATATGCAAATTGGATAAAAGTACTTCAAATCGTGTTCTGGACATGCCAATGTATACTCCTACTTTATTTTCATACAATATATTTCGTGAAAAATAGTCTTTCAGCGTAGGATTCTTGTTCAATCCCATCCAGATTAGCATTCCAATAATTGCCAACATTTCTGACTCATTGGTATCTTGCCATTTAGTTATCAATGAATGTTTTTGAATAGTTTCATTTGTTATGTCATTTTTAATTTTTTGTTTTGCGTATCGGTTCGTTTCTTGAACCAATATGGGTAAAATATCAGCCAAAAAAAGCTTATAAAAATCTAAAGGTTCATCTCCACTCCTTTTAGCAAAAAACGCTGCAGAGAATCCTGAGTTGTCACTGAATGTAAAGTCCTTTAAATTTCTTAAAGAAAAATACTTTATAGAATCCTAAGATTAGCTTGTTTTATTTTGTATTACCTGAACAATCATTCCAGATTACTCGAACTTCATGTGATTCCCCTCCACCTAGTTTTCTGTTGTCATCGCTCTCATGTGAACTACCTTCGCCGTTTTCGGATAAATTTACTTCGCTATCCGAAGTGACGTTTACAGTCCCTATATTTGCGTTTGCCTGGACACAGTCGTTTAGTCTTCGTCTTTTTGCAACTATGCCAGTTTCAAATTCACTATCCGTACTTTCCGATAAACCGGAATTATCATAGTTTGGATCAGCTACAGAGTCGTCGCTGTCCGAGTCGTATTCGATATCGCTCATATTTTCCACAATATCTTCCAGCTCTTTATCGGTTAATGCTTTATTTACCATTTTGCCTTCAGAGACGTGACCGATTGAAAGTTTTTAAAAACTCAATAATATCATTCAATACAGAATTTGGCGTAGTTCATGGAAATGGTTCTGTTTTTTAAGAAAACATCACAGTTTTTTCAAAAACATTTCCCTTTGAAAAATCTAATTGGCTCGTAATATGGGGTAACTATCAATTCCTAATATGAGGTACCCCACATTAGAGGACTGTGTCCTTTTCCGTATAAAACTAAAGTATTTTCTTTCAGATGCCTAAAAAACGAAGAGTTTGGAACAAGAAACATATGTTGCACATTTCCCATTCGCCCATATCAACCATAACATAATATATGATGATGAAATTATTCTTCACTCTAAAGAAACTCTAGTAGATGGCATTATTGACAAATTTCGATATTCATTGGCATTGACACTGATGCAAGTCATGGGATAACTGTATTTCTGAAGAGAAGAGCAGGGTAGATATTTTTCACGTTTTTTGCTATTTTTCTTCGGAAAAGCAGTGAATAAATAGTACTGAACAAATTGTTGGTTTTCAAATTAAAAAAAAAAAATCAAGTACGTAAACGTGCAATTTTTCTGCTTACAACGAATATTCAAACTGGGTATGACTGGAATATATAGTTCCTAGATGGTTCCTATAAACATACGAGGGGTGATTTTGTTCAAGATGTTCTGGCCGTTTCAGCAAAAACTAATATTGGTAAAATCGCTGCAACAGGTGTTGCCGATTTGTACGTCGAGTCCCTACAAATATTGAACACCTGGATGGCAAGAAGATTTATTGACTTCTGACAGAATCTTCCAGGCATTCATTAACCCTTCGATGCTTGATAACAAACAGTTGTTGCACTACAGTAGGGATGAAATACGATCTCTTGGCATGTGCCGATACCTGCAGGACTCTCCATATTTGCACTGTGAAGTTCTATGGATGCAACACTCCATAGTTTTCATGCTCGGTCGTGGAAGATGTTTACCGCACAACAAAATCTTGATGCCGCTGGATCTGAATATCGTTTCCAACATACTTCTCACAATTCTCCAATTCAGATTCTGGTCGAGCATCATGTCCCTCAGTCTGGTAAGACTCCTCCGGACATCTTTATAGGACGGTTTGTCTTGAAAATGCTTGGTCACCAAGTAGAAAATATTTCTTTGGCCCTTCTTCAACTGTAGCACTCTTCCGACTTCTGGATTCTGTTCTCGTAATGTTTGGAGCTGACTGAATTTCTTGTTGAATACCACAGCGATACCCCTGAGCATTTGGGAATCTTTCTTATTAGTCAGTGGGCTATGCTTGAAGACTGGCAATAAACAAATCTAAAGAAATGAACTTTGAACGTTCTCGATATACCTACACAGTAGGTTGAATGAACTGACGCCTATCAGAAAATAACTACTCCTCTGGCTGATACCACGAAGGGAGTTGGATTATATCCAACAGGCGTCAGTGCAGGAATCTTCACAGAAAATTTCCTGCATATGCACTTGGCAATACAATTGAAAGAGTCGACCTTCAATTTTGGAACGGGCACACTTGCATACCGGGCTCATTAGCCACTCGTCAGTGCAAGATAGTGATCATCATAGACCTGAAGTCAATGATATTCCATAATTGAAAATCGGAATTCTTTCAGAGTATTTCATTCCTCTTCCGAAGTTGCAGCGAACATCACCAAATGTCACTCCATCTAGTGGACGAGGTACTAACCAACTGTTTATCCGATATTTGCCCGATTTCTCTGAATAAGGAAGAAAAACTTTCTTATTAGTCAGTGGGCTATGCTTGAAGACTGGCAATGAACAAATCTGAAAAAATTAACTTCAAACGTTCAAGCCAGTCTCGATATACCTACCCAGTAGGTTGAATGGACTGACGCCTATCAGAAAACAACTACTCCCCTGGCCAATACCATGAAGGGCGTTGGATTATATCCGACAGGCGTCAGTGCAGTGTATTGCCAATTGCATATGCAGAAAATTTTCTGTGAAGATGCCGAAAATGTTCGGCGTGAAATATCGGATAGGCTATTCATATGACAAGAAGTTCAAGACAACCATTTCGAGCATCTTCTGAACTGACTTCAATTTTATTACCTCATATTATGTAGTTAAATGTCAATGTATTCACATGTATTGAATGTTCCGCCATTTTGTACTAGGTGTAGTAGTGTAGTAGGTCAGGATGAGCTTCAAAAAGATGTGTTACAAGACCCCCTTTTCTATTTAATTTTGTTTGTCCAGATAGCGGCCAGTCGCCATCTTGAAAGTTTCATCTGTCAATTTTACTTCAAAATAAAGTATTCATGCATTAATTTCATTATCCTAAATTTCAAATTTTTGAGTTGACGCGTTCAAAAAATGAAGGGAGGGCATTAAAAAAATGCACTCTATGATCAAATAATCTGAAATTGTATAAATATCCCATACGAGAGTTCTAAATTTTCTACAAACTCTGCTTGTTTGTATCTTACTGTTAGCCTCGGCCAGTAGAGAATACTCGATGTCACGTAGATTGAGCTTAAATTCAGTAACATGTTAAAAAAACACTTTACTGTGAGATTTTTATTAAACAGTTTTACAAAAACGCAACACGTGTTTCGCCATACAATGGCTCCTTTTGGCATTGTCGAATATTTCTCTATGTGTGTACAGTATTTTCAATTCAGCATAAGATTTTTTTTTAAAAAACTCCCAACTTTTCACTTTTTCATGTAGCACTATATTGTCTATATTGATCTGTAGCATGATTTCGTTGTTTTGATATCAAAGTATCGAGTAGTATTTCAATTATGATTTCGTTAAATGAGAGGTCATGAGCTTTCGGAAGTGAAAACAGAAATCAATATCAGAATTGATTTTCAGATCAGCCAGATAAAATAGTTTATAAAGTTAGGTATCATCAGCATATTCACGTATCCTACAGAAACCATGAGATTTAGAAAAGTCAGCTTTATACTCGTATATTGTAGACAAAAGCAAACACAAAATACTAACCTGAGGTTAGTGTGACGCACGTTTAACTGCGGATGTTTTTCCGTTTATTGGTTTACATGTCTGTTTTCACAATGTCAAAGTTGAAGAATTTCTATGTCGGACGAAAAAATATTGTTGATCACATTCTGATAGAAAACTGAAATTTTCCATTAACAAATATAAACAGATTCACAATATTTCCGTAAACGAAGAAAATACCGCAGAAAGCTGATTTCGAAATTTATGGTTTCTGCTGTATAATAAACCCAAAGCCAACGTTTTGGTATCATTTAAAAGATCCGGAAACTGTCAAATTCTTATTTATTTCTCAAGGCCGATTTCCACCAAACGTAATCGCTGGCGACTAGTTTCGTTAAAAAAAAAACCTTGGTTTATTTTCAAAAACAAACTGCAAACTTGAGTTCCACCAAAACAAGTTTGAGTCGTGTGTTTTGTAGTAAATGTTTTCTGTCGTTTCCGCTACATGAACAGTTTTAATGATGCCTGCTATAGACGAATATTTTAAGCGATTGGAGCCAAAGCGAAAAAAACAAGATGCTGGATAAGATCATTGTTAAGAAGATGAATAAATTATGGAACGGATAAAATTAGGACAGATTCGATAGATGAATGAAATGAATGGAGAACTAGTATTATCGAAATTTATATCCACCACAGATTAACACTTTACAGAAAGTAATAATGTCACATGAAGTCACACATTAAAACAAAGTAGTGAACTGAATAGTTGCTTGTTATTGTCGCCAACTGTTTCCCCATAGCGAACTCTGTTTACAAAAACATCGAAACCTCTTGATCTTTCGCCTGCCGACGAGACATTTCTTTGTTGACAAAAACAGTCATCGCAACAAAGTCTTCAAAATGACAACTCAAGTTTTTGTTTTGTTATGGTTTTGTCCGTTTGGTGGAAATCCGCCTTTACAGTTTATTAGTTCCCCATGCATATTTTCGAATTTGAATAACCGCATGGAATTTATAAATGGAGTGAAGAATAGGCTATCTATTTAAACAAAGTTCACAATTCAGAATATCAGAAACTAATTCTAAATCATAGTCAATGTTAACCTGCAATATATTGTTAAGTTCGAAATGCTTAGCCACCGTTTTCCGAAGTTTCGGCATTCGTGACCTATCATGCGTGAGCATGACTGATAATTTCAGTTTTGTCTTAATAATTATGAACATAATGTGAATATGCTTGCAATATAACAAACTTTTGGACTATGTCTCTACTCCTTTGAAATTATTACATCAGTTTGCTACCAACTCAAGTCATAAATATCTGAAGAAAGAAATTCGGAATATTAAAATTTCACACCTGGCCCTATATAAAGGGCAAATCAAACACGTGGATGCACCAAATCAAAACACGTGGACGCACTTATTTTTATTCGGTACTACACAAAAGACGATTCCGAATACATTCAAAAATGAGTCGTAAAATACTGACAACAATAGAAAAATTTCAACAGTACTTGTTTTTCCTAATAGGCAATGGTAAACCAGGTGGAAAAGTTTCAATTCCACTTGATCTGTTCGTATGCTATCGTAAATTAGTGTAGTGGGGAACAAATCTTGAAACTGAATTCTGAATCAGTTATCCTCAACAGACTTTGATGAATTTTCACGAACACATTTGGTTTTCGTGTAAAAAGCACGATAAATTGAATACCGCCATTTAAAATCTAATATGGCGAATGCCGCAAAATGGTGATTTATAAAATCTAACACTTCGATACGAGTATTAAAAGAAAAAGTTTGATGAGCGAAATATGTGAAATATGACTTCTCATTGAGGAGCGAGATGACTCAAAAGCCTTGGATTTTTGAAATTTCTTTCTGACGTTTCGCTGGCGCGAGTGGCTAGCTTCTTCAGAGGTTTAACCATCATGGCTTGCTGTCGGATGACTACCTTTTCGGCTTCGTAAAGCGTATTTATGCCTTGTCAGGTAATCAGTTGTATTGGTACCTGTATTTGTACCTGCATTCGTACCTGTGCT